TTTTATTTTATTTTATTTTATTTTATTTTATTTTATTTTATTTTATTTTATTTTATTTTATTTTATTTTATTTTATTTTATGCATATGGATGTTCTGTCTGCATGTATGCCTGTTTGCCGAGTGGATGTCTGGTGGTCTGCAGAGACCAGAGGAGGTTGTCAAATCCCCTAGAACTGGAGCTGTGGATGATTGTGCGCTGCCATGTGAGTGCTGATAATCAAGCCAGTGTTGTCTGGTAGAGCAGCCCATGCTCTTAAGCATTGAGCCATCTCTCTAGCCCCACAGTGTTAATTTATGTTTTATTTCTTCTTCTTCTTCTTCTTCTTCTTCTTCTTTTTTTTTTTTTTGGTTCTTTGAAATGGGGTTTCTCTGTGTAGCCCTACCTGTCCTTGAACCTCCTCTGTAGACGAAGCTGACCTCAATTTCACAGAGATCTGCCTGCCTCTGCTTTCTGAGTGCTGAGATTTAAGGCATGAGTCACAACACCTGGCCAAGAATTTATTTTTTTAAATGTGTTTCAGTTGTCGAGGATAACATGATTAATAAGCCATGGCTCATTCAGTTCAGCAAGGGGTTAGAAATAATCTTTGATAGTTCCATTCATTTATATACTATTCTGCTTGTAGTATACTACTCATGGCATAGACGATCTTTTGAATCAATTTCAATGAATTCTTTGCTCCGTTGTCTTAAGGGGTTCAGAAAATTTGTTTATGGCCTTACGAAATAACAACACAGATCCAGTGAAACATCTTATTTCTTTCTGCATTCTTCATAATACCAGCTATTGTCTTACAGGTTAACAGTCATTCAACAAATACATATCGAATGAATAAATGAACCACTTCAAATTATATGCTATAGTTCTTTTTGTCAAGGACCTTCAGTTCTACTGGGAAAAGAAAAGAGAAGCATTACAGAAAAGAAAATTACATTTGTAGTAGAGCAAATGACAGATAGAAAACAAATTACACAGACAATATGTATTGTGATTTTGGAAAAAAGGAATTCTCATTCCAATTTGGAGTGATTATAAAGTGACTTTCAGGAAAATGGTAATCTGCTTTGATATTAATGAATACATGAATTCTCTTTCATGTTGACTGTTAGGAGGACAAAGTGGTGGAGACTGCTACTTTTATATAAACCTAATTTCTCTGACGGCTGGGCTCACAGTCGGTCAGTCTTTCTCAGATTCCTTTGCAGCTGGGCATGCAAGGTGAGAAAGGCCTAACCACGAGAATAGGAACAGAAGTTGTGTTCCATTTCTAGGCCCAGGCATTACATGCAGGAAAACCATCCTTTCATATTCCCTTTTTCATATGTCTGGAAGATCCAGGTGACTTTGGGGTATTTAGGGGATGATAGATTCATAAGGAAAAATGGAACCCAGATCATGCAACATTATGTGAGGTAAAACTATTTCCAACCAAGAACATCCACATTAGACTACTGCCATGACTAATGTTGTTTGCCTTGAGTCATGCATATCTTTTTTATGCCAAAGTTAGCATAATTTTAAAACTCCAGCATACCCAAGCCGGTAAGCATTCTGAGCAAAGGTACGCACACAAAGTTAGTGACTCAGGTGAGTTGGCACAGCAGCTGTGGGTCAATGGACATTGGCCTGGGTGATAACATGTGGAGTCCTCCAAAGGAGAAAGCGTGTTAAAGGTGAAGATGCAGAATTTGTTCTGGAACCCTGACATTAGAGAGATAGTAAATAATGCAAACATTGTACATGTTTTATACTTTAGGCTTTAGGAAGATTAATTTAGAATAGAGATAGATTAAGTTAAACAGATCTGCGTGAATATTATTACTAGAATTTAGACAAGCTTGTAACATAACTCTAGAGAAGAGTGGAAGCTTAAGAATCTGGCACATGACCTGAGGTGCTTTGCTGCACTTGTTTGGATACCTGTCTGTCTATCCTTAATGAACTATAAACATCCCACCAGCAAGTAAAATTTTTCATTTGTTTATCATGATATTTTCAGAATAAGCTCTGATACATGGAAGGAAAATCTAAAACATTGATTGAATGTATGTTTTCTTCTAGATACACCGAAATAACCATGGAGTATATAATTTAAAATGTTCTTTGGCATGAGTGAAAAATATGTTTAGGGGTGAAAGGGAAGCTCAGGGGTAGACTGCTTGTCCAGCATGAGTGAGGCCTAGGGTTCAGTCCAGACAGAATGAGAGAGGATTTGTAGCATATATGTATTAAGTTAGAATCAACAAAGAGACTCATAACTTAGACAACATAAGGAGAGAAACACAGAGCACTGAAGATAAAATTAAAAAAAAATCACTATTAATAAGAGAGAGAAGGGGGGGCTGGACTCTAGAAATTATAGAGTCAGTAAGAGACCACAGTGAATACAGACCACAAAGAAGACAGGGCTTAGCTAGCAAAGCACAGCATGCAGAGCTGAGCTTGGATGGCCAGCATCTGTGTAAAAAGCTAGGCATGACAGTGGACATCTGTAACCTCAGTGTCGGGAACAGAAACACAAGAAGGATCCCAGGGGCTTCCAGTCAGTCTATCCAAAATGCTGAATTCAAGGTTTAGTGAGAGACTTGTCTCAAAAAGGAAAGTGGAGAGCAAGGAAGAAACACATGTGATGTAGACTCTGGTTTCTACATTCATGAGCACGTATGTACTTGCACAATTACACACACATGATCATATATGAATACACAGAGAAGGGAGAGGAAGAATCAGAGATACAGAGAAACATAAAGACAGCAAGACACAGAAGAGAAAACTCAAGGTGAGAATATCAACAGTTCTATATTGAGGACATAAAAGCAACTCTAATAATATCATAATTAATCTTAGTCTGTTTAAGACATTAAGAAAAATGAGGACTCCTTTCAGGAGAATAAGGGAAGTAGAAAGAATTGGAGAATTTGTACTAATCAATGTTAAATGATTCACTAGGTAGCACAATAAATACTATAAAATCTAAAACCAAGTACATGTTTAATAATAGATTTTCTAAGTAAAATTTGCTTTAAAATATTCTTTTTGGGGGAGTTATTTATTTATTTTTAATTTTAATTTTTTATATTAATTACAGTTTATTCACTTTGTATCCCAGCTGTAGTCCCCTTCCTCATTCTCTCCCAACTTCACCCACCCACTATCCCTCATCTCCTCCCACACCCCTCTCCAAGTCCACTGATATGGAGGTCCTTCTCCCCTTCTTTCTGACCCTAGCCTATCAGGTCTCATCAGGACTGGCTGCATTGTCTTCCTCTATGGTCTAGCAAGGTTGCTCCCCAGTTAGGCGGTGGTGATCAAAGAGCCAGCCACTGAGTTCATGTCAGAGACAGTCCCTGTTCCCCTTACTAGGGTTCCCACTTGGATACTGAGCTCCCATGAGCTATCTAAATCAGCAAAATCAGAAATGAAAAGGGGGGCATAAAATATTCTTTTATTTAAAGGCTCTGTCACTATGAAGACAGTTCTGTTTTGATTATACACCTGATGTTCTTCCTGCATTTTTGCATTGGTGTTCTATATTCCTTTCTATTCTTGGGTAGTACTTATTATATGGCCTTTTATTATAAGCCATTATTGTGAGCAAAATTAGTGAGTTTGTGTTTTCTCTTTCTTAGATGAGTGTTGATGTTGAACACTGTTAGTTTGTTTATTGATTTTTTTTCTATCTTCATCGGCAAAATATCTATACACATCCTCTTAAACTGTGTTATCTGTATATTTTTGATTATGATGCTGAGTAAGGGATTATTGCTGGTAGGGGATTTTTATGGATTGCCATTCTTCTGGCTTTTAATTTTTAATAGTGGGCACTGGCTGTGGTACTCCAGACTGTCACGTATCTTATGAGATCCACCTCTACCTACTAACAATGCTGGAGTTGCAGGATAGGGGCTCCAGTGAAGGGAAAGATAGTTCAAGGTGACTTGATAATACAGCACACAAATGTTTGCCCTATCTGCGGCTCGCCTTGGTACAGAAGTATTGAGCATAAATTGCTCAGGAAGGTATGAGGAGGTAGGAAAAA